CCTTCTCAATACTGCAATAGTATGGAATGACACAGCGAATTCCACTGGAGGAACTGTGTACAGTGCTTCTGTTGCCATCTTTGCTCCTAACTTTACAGCTTACAACATCAGCTTCAAGGTAACTCTTCCTGGCTCAGCCATTTGTTTCATTCAAAAACTTGAAACTTATTTTTCTAGCTCTTCTGGGGCTGTTTGTTGGGTTTGGTTTTGATTCCTTGTAAAGCATGCAGCTCCAGCGCCACTTCTAGGTGACGTTGGAGGGCAGGCAGTAGCTCTTAGGATAGCCGGCGATCAGGCAGCATTTTATAATTGTGGGTTTTATGGGGCTCAAGACACACTCCATGATGATCGAGGCAGGCATTTTTACAAACACTGTTTCATTGAAGGTTCTATTGATTTCATCTTTGGAAATGCTAGATCACTCTATCAGGTACTGTAATTTATCTTCAACAATAAAATATCGTGCTTTTTTTTTTTTCTCTTGCTAATCCTGTAAGATTGCTATAACGTCAGGGATACGTTCTTCATTCCATAGCAATGGAAGATGCATCCGGTATTGTTACAGGAGCCATCACAGCTCAGGCAAGGCAGTTGCTGACAGAGCAGACAGGGTTTTCCTTTGTGAACTGCATCATTCGCGGGACTGGACGAGTCTGGCCTGGACGAGCTTGGGGACCTTATGCTACTGTTGTCTTCTCCAACAGTTATATGTCAGATGCTGTGTCTCCTGATGGATGGAATGACTGGAGAGACCCTTCCAGAGACCAGTCTGTTGTTAATCCCTGTTGCTGCTGATCCTCTGTTCTTTGCTCTTCATTTTGCTGCTCCCTAACTTTCTCCCCCTGTTTACTGCAGGACAGTGTTTTTTGGGGAATACGGGTCCCTGGGACCAGGAGCAAACTACACATACAGAGCTTCATATGGGAAACAGCTGCTGGACTATGAAGCAGCTCCTTTCATGAACATTTCATTCATTGATGGGGATCAATGGCTTCAAGAAGAGTACATCTCAACCAAAATGCCTATTTTTGACGATAGGGAGGATGATTTAATTCATACTTGCTGATATTTGTAACATTTTGACTAATATTTGTGACATTTTGATCTTCTGCTTATTCATACTAGATACAGAGGTAGCCTATAGACATCTCTGATAAGTATTCAGAAGAACTGAAAACAAGAACAGAAATATGAAGATTGAAAATCTTTTACTTCATTCTTATCGTGGAGTTCTTCCCTTTTACTTCTGAAATTCCAAGACAGTGAAGAAATCATCAACATGGACATGGAATGCGCGAAAATGAGGGAAACCTGCAGAGAGACCAAGCTGCTTGAACTCTTCCTCGGTCCTATGCTTTCCCTTGGCCCTGTAAATGGTCATCACAAAAATATCTCCTTCCAGAAGAGTACGTGTTCTATGGCTATCGTCTGATTCCTTGGGCAACACTGGCTCACATGCGATCAGCTTTCCTCCAGCAGGCAGTGCCTTCCAGCAATTCTCCAATATCAGCTTACACTCATCATCTGTCCATGTAGTCAACATCCACTGCCAAAATAACACAAACTCACTCCATAAGCCCATTATATTATGCATGATTCAACTTCATATCATTCTCCCTGTGAAAAACTGTTTCGTCAAAAAGTTTATACCGATCAAGGCTTAAAGATAACAACAATCCCTACTTCACGCTGTCATGGACAACCCAGTTGGGTTAGAAGAAAGCATGACAAGTATGCTTATATCATATTGCTAGAGATTTGGAATACCCAATATTTGATGAAGGATGGAGAACGGGGCTATCATGCTTCCAAAGCCAAACTTATATCAAGTTAGGAACTGTTTTCATCAAAAGGATTAAAACTATATATCGATGGGAACAATAAGATTAAACCTATATTAGCACTCAACCCACGCTCCGCGCAGTTTGTCCGTATTTTTTCGGATTTTTATTAATTATATAATTTTATAATAATAATTAATAATTATAATTAATTAAAGTATTTGTCAATTATCTCTATTTATTCTTTCTCTCTATATTAATAAATTAGTTGATTCTATCCCTTCTCTTCTAATCATTCGTCCTCACCTCCCACCTTATCTATTCACATATATACCATATAATTTGTGAACTTATGATTTGATGCAATCTTTGTTTGTCTTTCAAAAGGGCACTTTTCCATATTATTTCATATTGATATTGAACATGTGTCCACATTCATGTATTGCTCAATTAAATTAAATAAACACATATTCAATTGAAATCAAAGAAATCTTTCACTTGAATATTACAAATAATTAATAAAAGAAAAATTATAATGCATTACAAAAGCTCTTTTATTTTATTCAAACTTTGACTACAGAATATAAAATTCTCTTTGGATTGTCTCAACTTCTTAGTTTCTCAAATTTCTTCTGTGTACCTTTTTTTTTTGTTTTTTTTGTCATGTAGCCCTAATTCAATAAAATAGGAAAGATCACCTTGAATTAACAACTAAAGGCATGAATTGATGTCGGCAACATAGAACCAATAATGATGGCATGAATCACAAATTCACAATTATTGAGAAAAAGAACGTAAAAAAATAGAAAAGCTACCCATGAATGATGAATTGCTCTATAAATTTCACCTAACTCCAAGGCACGGTGAAGCTATAAAATCAATTCTCACTAGTGCTTTCTCCCTTTCGGTTCTGCTTTTGCTTTCTCTCCTCTTAACAATACCATCATTTTTTTTCCTTTTATTTTTTTTTTTTTACTGCTGCCCTCTACATGTATACATAAGGAACAATTGAAAACCCTAAACCTTCTTTTGTCTCAGAACTCGAACCACACATTATATGTTCAGCAAGACTTACTTGCATTCATTTAGATATTAATTATGGGACCCACACCCTAATATTAATTGAGGTATATATAATTATAATTATAATTATATAGTATTATGGTTAGCATCAAGGTTTTATATGGTATTATGGTTAGAAATTCAATTTAATTATGGGACTCACACCCTAAATATTAATTAAAGTTTATATGGTAGATTATTACATAATTATATAATATTATATTTTAAGTTTATTTCTTATTTGATTAATTCCTATAATTATTTATTTTCTATTCTATTAATTCCTTAGAATTATTTATTGTTTTTTAAAGTCTATTAGGTATTTAGCCCATTGGGCATTTATTAAGGATTTTATCAAAGTTCAATGGGTATTTATTAATAATTTTTTAAAAGTCCAATAAGTATTTATTTGTAAATTTTAAAGAGAATTTTGTTATTACAGTAATTTTATATATAGTTAAAATCTATTAGGTATTTAGCCCCGTTGGGTATTTATTAAGGATTTTATCAAAATCTAATGGGTATTTATTTGTAAATTTTAAATAGAATTTTGTTATTACAACAATTTTATATATAGTTAAAATATATATATATATATATTTGATATGTAAAAATTAAGAATTGAATATTAAACCTATGACTAATAACATAAGTAACTCTACCACCAAACCATAAAACTATATATTGCTTGAATGATAAATAGTATTTGATCATACAACAGTAAGAAATCTTGTGGGTTGATTCTGACTTTCTGAGCACCAAGATTTTCTAGTTAAAGACAAAAAGGACTACCACAATCCTTGCGACCAATTGGGCAAGAGGAAACTAGGAAAAGGA